GTAAATGTATGCTGTTTAAAAACCTCGCGATTGCTGAACAAGAAAACAACACATTCATATTCCAATGCCGAGGTTAAGAGAAAGTCGATCCTAGGAACTATTAAGGTCATTCCTGGGTCTCTGTCAGAGGCACACGCAGAACGTTGTGAATCAGAGGAGCTTAGCAGCCTTTGTGACTAGGATTCTTCCGGAACGACAACGATTTCTGCGAATAATCGAAAAAGAACGATTCAATAGACTAAATCAATACTGCTACATATAACGAGAGCGTAGAACATTACTACTCCAGTACTCCATTCTTTCACAACCAGATGGTGCTAATATAAAGATGAAAAATGGAGAGGATCCACAATAGTCAGTTCGTCTCATCTATGGGTTTTTTACTGATGTCATTCATAAGGTAGTTTGCAGTTCTTACACAGAAAGAGACAATGATATCATTGCCGAGATGTTACAGCTGTGCCTAGAACGGAAGAGCTTTTATTGAATGTAAGCGGAAGACTACTTTCGAGTCTTGAAAGAGTTCTTTTAAACAAGATCGCACAAATATGTAAGAATTTTGAAGATATAAAGACGATTTAGTGAGGTTACTTTATTCTCAGAGCTCTCCCAGAAAAGGAATAAGAATGTCATTATCTTTCTTGGATACCTAGATACTTGGACGGCCCGTCTTCACTAGTTGTGCGGGCGCCAGCACAATCCCCATTTTTCTTTCTTTTTGAATACCTGCCGGTTGAGTCATTGTGGTTCCCTGAGGTCCCGAGGTCAGCCTGGCCAAGGTCTGCTGCGGGTCGTCACCACCTCAGGCAGTCGCAGCCCTTGTGGAACAGACACTATCTTTCTACTAACGAAATAGTAGTAATTACGCCAAAGATATGTGGTAACACCGAACCAAGCAGCTGTACTAACATAGGTTGAAAACTCAACATGATACACTACTGAAGACTGGATTTATGGGCTTACAGCATCGTTGTGATAGCAGAAGGTCAAAGGAGTTATCAAGACCAGCATCCTGATTTACGATTCCTTTGTTCATCTCGCCACAACGCAATTTTTCAAGTGGTTCAGCTTCGCTAAAGAAGTTTTCGAGAACAGTCCCTCGCATAATGAGTTAAGGTAGGATGTTCGCAGTTAATCACATTAGAGAGGTGAATGAAAGTGGAACACGTTATCTTAACCTGATCGACAAGCGTAAATCACAGATAGGAGCAATAGCAACTTTATGAAGACCTTAAAAGAGACGTACGAGTGTCTCTATGGACAATACGAGACAGTATATCGGTCAGATATAAAAAGTGATTAGGATGGGCAATGTGCAATTAGCCAAACTACAAGCCAAGACGGTCTTCTTTCGCGGTGTTGAACCTAAAGCTTATGACTTATGCGAGTATCGATTTGTGTTCAATTGTATCATCTCATAGCGAAGTGACTAAGTAGAGTAGACTTATTTCCATACCAAATTTTTTCGATAAAAAATCAATTTTAGTGGTAAGGTACCTTATCGTTGGGTCCCACGGCTCCATAAACTGGTCGCATTTTAAACATTCCAGGTTTCGTGCTTTTCATTTTGAAAATAATTGTCTTGTCGGATTCGTTAGTAATTGTCATTTCCGCCATTTGTTTAGATCCATTTGGCATGAAGGTCACCTACAAAGACTAGGCCTATGAGCAACGAGTAGTGACTTAAGGGCCTTCAAATCGCTTTAAAGCAGAAGAAGATGGGACAACTTACACTCTTCGATGGTACAAATGTCACTTTTTCAGTTGCCATGAATAGCACTAGTTAATAAATGAACATTACTACACATTGAGCATAGATATATGAGAGGATTACTGATATCACGTTTTATCGTTCTGTTATCTCAATCAGTAAGCAGCAGCAATCCATGAAATTTCAGGACTAGCCGATTGTAGCATGAATAACTAGATGGCAAGTAGAAAAAGGACAAAAAAGGATAAAGCTGTCGGTGTTGATCAATCCCTGAAGGATGCGCTATGCATTCGACTCCATTAAGTATCGCATGGAGATGATTAAATGTATATCTGGTCTTTACAATGACTCGTGGTGGTCTACCGATGTACCGAGTCAATGCTGCTATCCTCCTAGGCAAATCTGGTGCCAATATGCCGACTCTGGAAGGATGGAAGGCTTGGTGGGCCATGATGCACAAGGATCGATCCCACGTATGTGTTGCAGGGCGCCTCCGACCACTGCGCCACACGCCTCAGGACGTTATTTATATATTCGTCTGCGCGTTGAAAGGATGAGACGTTCGGCAAAAAGCTCACGTTGTGAACGTTGTGAAGCAGCACTGGTCTCAGATTGGTCTGTCTGTGTGGCAACGCTGACCAGCTGAGAATTCTGGAATAAAGAGGAGAATAGTAAGCGGTAACTGTAGCGCTGGCAAATCTCAGGACCGACTTTCTTTTAACCTCGACATTGGTCAATAATACACTTAATTCATGATGAGCACACACGAGGCTGTTAACAGCAAGATTCATTGAATTCCATGGTAACTAACGCTTCGGCGATTTCGCCTTCTTCAGAACTGTTCTGTTGTCCTTAAGTCCTCCGGAATTTTGGGTTTTTGTCTTTATTAGTTTGAAAAAACCATGTTTCCTCACCCTTAAGACTCTGCGCGACTGGTCTCCAATAATAGCTGGAGGACTTAAGAAAAACAAAGCAGCTCTGAAGAAAGGGAAACCCCGAATTGTCAGCTACCATCGAATTTAATAAAGCTTACTGTTAACAACCTCGTGTTTGCTCATCAAGAAAACAGTGCAACATTGGCCTCCAGTAATAAATTTGAGGAAGGAGTTGTTGAAAGAATCCCCAATTTCGTGTCCTGAAGAAGAATGTTAGGTATTGATCTAGTCGTTCGAGGAAAGCATGATAGGATGACAGCCTTGCAACTGATTGTAGTTGCTCGCGGGTGCTCCGCGAGTTTTCATATTCACAATTCATAATTCGTAATAGTCCTTTGAAATACTATTACGTCTTGTATTACGTCTTGTACTAGCTGATGATGATACCGACTTCTACAGGATGGACTGTCCGGAAAAACAAGTGGTTGTCACCGGCCAATCACCGCTATCGGTAAGAACCGTCCTCTATAAAAGAGCATCGCCGGGTGAGTATGGTTCATTCATAGAGAGACGCTCCACTGAGGAAGATCCGGTTCGATGCGCGAAGACCAAGGCACTACCTCGAGAACACGAACAAGTGTGGACCATCGACTCGGATGATCGGCTTTGATGAAAGCGTTGAAACGTTGGCCGAAAATAAAAATTGTTTATCAACCTCGTGTAAACTTATCGAAGAGGGAATAAATTATGGAGTATGCGACAAACCACTGTTTATTTTACAAGTGTGAAATTGCTAACAACCAAGGGTATCACGGAGTACTTCTCAGCTAGCGACAAAACGAGTGTATGAGACACCTGTTAGGAAGCAATTTACAGATATTTGATACTTGGTCACTTGAATGACACGCCTTCACTGGCAGTGCGGGCCTCTGTCCAATCGTTTCACTCCCTCTCTCTCTATTGTAATCGTCCCCTATGGTAGTAGTTTTTCAAACATGGTGAAGAACACGAGGCTTATTCCGTTGTCATAAAATCCTTCCCATCTGCGAATGCAGATGATTGACTTTAGCCCCATACACGTTCGCCCACCGTTTGGCTGGTCGTCGAAGAGGAGCCTTGCGTTCCCTTAAAGTCCACTCGTTTTCCTTCTTATATGACCGGTCCATCTGTGCTTCACTATTCTTCTGGTTTCCGAAGATGACATAGGCTTCGAGGACTTGAGCTGTGCATTCCAGCTAAATGTTACGGGGGCTAGTTAAATTTCAGAAGAGGTCGTACAAGCGCTCTGTGAGTAGTGCACAGAGGTCTTAACGTTGTTGAAATATCAGCACACGTCTCCTAGCATAACAGGGCGCTGGCAGCCGTACTGAATCGAAAAGGTGAAAGTTGTGTTTTGGGTCCACTCGTTTGCCTTCAGCTTCTTCGAAAGGTCCGAATGCAGCCCGTGCTCCTCTACTTCTTTTGTCCAGTTCCTCCTTTACACTATTCTTAATGTTCATTAAACGCCTAAGATCCATGTATGAGATGGTCTTTGTAATGAAGGAACTATCCAGTTCGATTAGCTCGCCTTCGCACCATGGGTTCCTCATGAACTCTGTCTTCCGTCGTTAAGCTCATTTCGCATTGTCTCTGCTTCAATGGTACGTATTGAAAAGACGACGATATCATCGAGGAAGCAAAGATTTAATAGAAATTCCCCATCAATGTGTATGCCCTTAACCGAGTGACTTCCATATATACCGTAATGCGACAGTAAACAGCTTCAGCAATATTTTGTCGCTCAGTCGAACACCTTTTCCTATGAATTTTCCAATGAGTAGGGGAAGCGGCCGATGGAAATTTGTATTTTTGTCATGCAGTTCCTATAACAGTTAGCTGGATTTCGCATGTAGGATGGGCTCACTTCTCAGTCGACAAACGCTAATAATGCTGCTTTCGTTTCCCCACTATCGAACGCGTTTTCTTAGTCTACAGAAGTCAGAACAAAAAACAGGTGGTGTATTCGACAAAGTTCTATGATCCATGATGCGGTTTAGAAGTGGCAGTTCTACAGACTACGTCGTTGTTCAGCTGATTCCGACAACTTTTTTGTCTACACAAATTCACATCCTCCTGCAAAGATCCATAGTTGATATTTACTATGTGCTTGTTATGTTTGTTGCAATAGGATCAAGATTCAGTTTTTTCTCTACTCGAGCAAATCGTTAGTGGTAATAGAGATGCAGTCTGAAATCTTTGTTTGAGGAACTGAGGAGAGTTTGGCACAGCTTTAAGTCTTTCGACAAGCAGCTTGTAGTCGTCGGTCGGGTCCTCCTTTATCTGTTAGTCATATGTGGAGAGGATTTTATTGCGAATGTCCTCTCCATATATGACTTGTTCCTTTTTCTTGAACGATGGTCGTTCTTTTCCAGGTTATGGATGAATCGATTTATCGCAAGAAGAAGGCGATGATGCGATCCCGTACAGAATCCAGGTACCATCTAGGCGCTGAACCCACCCATGCACTGGCTCGACCGTGCGACGGACTTACCAATCCCGTCATCCTCCGGTGTGGGAGAATTGTTGCCGGGTTTGTCTTGGACAAGCTGACTCCATGCAATCCGAGTAGGAACACCGTAGCCTGGTTATCTCAGAATCTCAGGAAGGACCGAATCGACCATCATTCAACGACATTCATGAAGAAGACGAAAAATCAACACGCAGTGGCCAAAGTCGTACTTAAGAAAGTTGGAAGATGGTGTATGCGAGAAATCGAATCGAATCCGAAAAGTGCTGGGATGCGCACAGTGTGATATACGTTGATATCGAGTGATGTAATAAAGAAAACGGTGAAGGATAAAGCTCTTGATGTTGATTAATCCCTATGGGATGCATCAAGCATTCGACTTCGTCAAGTATCGTTGGAGGTGATTGAATGCATATCTGGTCTTTACAATGACTCGTGGTGGCCTACCGATGTGTCGAGCCACTGCCGTTATCCTCCAAGACAAGCCTGGTACCAATTTACCGATCCCGGAGGGATGAAGGGCTTGGTATGAGCCTGAGAGCGGTGATCGATCCCTGCGTGTTGCAGTGCGCCTCCGACCGCTGCTCTACACGCGCCAACAGATGAAAATGTTCTGAAATATCGGGACTCAAAAACAAGATTCTGGATAAAATAAATCCTTGCGTATCACACTACGACAGAAGTTTTAACTTTTTTTAATGTCAAGCTTTGCTCTAAAAGCAAGGCTTTTCATCATTGAGCACTACGCGGGTTACGATGCCTCGGTCCTTTAAGAACGCGGATTCTTGTTCCGATCGCTCAACAAGTATTGTCCTTGATCAAATTTCCAGTGTTTGGCTATCCATAGTTCTTTGCTTTGTGTCTTTTGTTTCGTGAATGTATCCTTGACTAAGATTCCATCCTGAATTTGATGGTTTTGCCCAGGTCTTGCTTGGAAAGTTTATGTAGGGATGGGAAAAATCAATAACGTGCGTTTGTCAGACGATGGTTTACGATGGAAACTAGATGTTTTAATGTCACTTACTGCATAACTACTTGAATTGATGGATTTTCTGTCCTCGCAAGCCGTTCGAGCTTTAGCTGATCTAGGATAAGTTTCGCTGTAACTGTTGTTTAAAGAGGTGGTCCGATTTCCCTGTGGATTTGGTTGTAGTTTGAGGATCTGTCATCTTCTTTCTCGAATTGCATGTCAATTCTGGATTAGCCACGGTTTTCACATGAAATCTGAGGTAGACCTTTTAGGGCTTCTTCGGTCTTCTTCACCTTGGGCTGTCACTGACGTTGTGGATCGGATGAGCCTAGCTGCTTTGCAACTAGGATTCTTCCAAATCACAGGACGTCAAACGTTTGATTAGTCTACAGATTGATAGAGAACGAAGCGAAAGGCCGAGTTTCTAATGTTTCACATGCTGGTAAAGTGAGCAGTTACTAGTCCAGTACTGCAGTACTTCACAGGCAGTCCGACGGCGTACGGCTAGCCGTCAACCGTAAGAGTTTTGTCCTCATAAGACTCAGTATGCTGTTCTTTTCGTCCTTTCGTGGTTACCTCTTTTCATTACATCATATATATACTTTTTCTGTACGTGTTCTACTAGATCTCATGGAAGGGGAATACTCTTCAAACGTCCCAATTTTGCGTTCAGGCAAAGTTCTTGTGTTATTTTTCTTCTTTAAGGTCACAAAGTATTCTCACTTCTGCATTCTTTCTTGGTTATCAGAGGAACGTAGTAGCTTTAGTCACGGAATGAGATCGATAGCTTAGGATGGTTTTTTATCTGAGTAGCGGAAACCATTGGCATCGGTTCGCTGTTAGCTGGTCATAGGGATGGCTATAACTTAACCCATCGATTTAGTAGATCCTATTTGGTGGCCAATGAACCCTTTGCTATCACATTGCAGTTTGACACCTAGGACTGTCTTAGACCCAATGGATGCGGTAATTGTTCGAGTGGTTTCGTTTACTTTCGCGCTACATATTGAACCGAATATCTTCCTCAACGTCCCTTTTTAAATGTTCTTAGTCTTCCTTAAGGAATGGTAGAGAAAATGGCAATATTTGGTCTGGAAGAAGAGGACTCTGACCAGGTAAACACTCTGCGCCATCTTTTGCTTACTTTGTTTTCTTTTGATCATCCTTATCTTTTCCTATTTTTAACGTGAATGTGGAAGCACAATTCCTTCTACTATCTAGGAGGAAAATGTCTATAAGAGCTCCTTTCTAAAGGAAAGACTTCACTCTTTTCCGAGCTCATGTTTTTGCATTGTATTCTTTCTCCACTTAACTGGTTGTGAAGAAGAAGTAGTGCTTGCATCATTACGTTGCCTTTGATCAGTTCTTCTTTCTTATGTTTATTCTCAGCATTTCTGTTTTACTTATGTGGTTTTTCAGCAATATGAATCCATCCAGGAGTTCAGTGCTGTCAGAAACAATGAATACTTGGAAAGAGAGACTGCTTCGGCGTTAGAGAATTTCGCTGAGCACGGCGGTGACCCACGTATACTTGATCCAAACAGGTAAACTATGGTTCCGGAAAGCGTACCAGCTAGGCAACGATTACTATTCTTGGTGAAGAAAAATTCTTGATTCTTACTTGGGTACTTGGATGGCCCGTCTTCACTGGTTGTGCGTGCCCCAGCATAATCTCCATTACTTCGGAGTTGTTCTGGTTTAACCACTGTATTTCCCTGGAGTCCCGAGATCAACCTGAACAAATTCTGCCTTAGGTCGTCACCACCACAGGCAGTCGCCGCCCTTATGGATTAGGTGGAGATTTGCCCCTTGCGACTAATGTGATACCAGGACGGTGGTGGATCATGGTATTGGTTTGCTCTTAGCTGGGATATTCTCGGTGAACAGTTTAAACAAACATAATGTTCTTTTTGTAAGATTGTGTTCGGATTTCCCATCTGTTCTGCTGTTCGGTTTCGTTATAATGCAATCCATTAGGGAATTCCCATATCAAATGGCAAAGCATGTTTACTGAACTGCTCCTACTGAGTGAACACGCTTTCGGAAGTAAACTGCACTCATTTTTCTATCCCGGATTTCTAACTTGTCGATCTAGTACTTTTCCACCTCCTTTTCCTAGTCTTGTGAACACTTACCTAAGTTTAGATTGATCGTTTTTATATTTTCAAACCTAGAACTTAGAGTATCTGTTTCATCGCCTTTGGTCGGTTGCTGTGCTAATGGTAGGAATGGCTGCAGCTTGTGAAGTTTTAGTCCCAGGACAGTAAGCCTTTATTCCATCCACAAAGGTCATTTTATGTTTTTCGTGATGAAAATCATTGCCAACACTTCTATGTGGAAAGGCGACGAATAGCCAAGACTTAATCGAATCCATGACGGCATCCTACTGCATCACTGAATAACGGTTGCAGCGAAACTGATGTTAAATGTGCTGGGACCGAACTGACTCATGAACACAGCCAATTCAACAGTGGAGGATAAGGGATATAATGTTTGCGTTAATTAATCCGTGAGGGATGAGCCGCGCATTCGACTTCATTATGCATCGCCAGAGATAACTGAATGCATATCTGTCTTGTACTATTGACTTGTGGAACCCTCTCTAAATATTAAGTTACTACTGCTATCCTTCCAAGGAAGCCTGGTACCAATTTTCCGACCACGGAGGAATGTGGTAAATTCGCGGCACAGGATCGAAACAACGACCTCTTCAGTATTTTAGTACTAGCTGGAAAAGTACATAACCTCTCTTTGAGCACTCTCTCTGATCCTCTCTATACGACCCTACCCATTACAGACAGAATATAAGGAGCACCATTAGTCATCAAAACCAGTGCCTGTCCTCCAATCCACCAGTGTCTGTTTTCCAATCTACCAGTGCCTGAGTTCCAACTCCCAGTGTCTGTCTTTCAATCTTCCAGTCTCTCAGTTCCTCAGCGCTCTAACTCCAGTGCCTGCCTACCTTCCTTCAAGTGTATCACTTGTTCCCATTTTAGTCTCGCTCGTATCCACCCAGCTTACATAGCGTCAAATATCACATATTATTATTGTATCGTTGTTGTTACTGTAAACTGTTATAACCCATACTCGAGGTTGTTCACGGCAGTTACTGAAAAAAGTCCCGCGTGGCGAATTCAAATAAAGTCGAGCATTCCACGTAGCATAGTAACGTCCTGGAGCAGACTTTGACTAAGCTGACTTCGGGATTGCAGAAAAACAGAATGGCTAAACCAGCAAAACTTCGAAAAAATGGAAATTATGCTGGGGACTCCCATAACCAGTGAAGATGGTCCGTCGAAGTATCCAAGTATTTGTAGTTTTTATACCCTATTTTAAAGACGCAGACATTATTGTTGTAATTGGTTTATCTGACCGTAAAGACACACGTATCTTTTATTCATTGAAGAATTTGCAGATGTCTACTTCTCTCCAGCATTCCATCAGTACTCCTACGTGACCCTTTTATGGTGTTCAGTGACTATATGTTAGACTGGATTGCCCAGGATTTCAAAGTCTCGCGTGATGGTATGGAAAAGGTGGGATAGTATCTCATTGAAAGATTTCACCAATTTAAGTAGAACTGGAGGAAATAAATTTGAACAATATCCAGCGTTTATCAAAACGGCATATGTTTCTTTGTTTATCTTTAAGAAGAAATTGATGAATCTTTTGTGAGAATGGTTGATAGCGAAGAAAATGATGTGGGAAGTATTTCAACTTTATGAAAAAGGTGCCTTAACCCTTACCGCGTTAGGAAGCAATCCTAACTAATGCGTGACCGATAGTCTAGAACATTGTTTGCTTTAAGCCAACGTTTCTGAGGCCATAGTGGACCGTACTAATTGAAATAAGATCTGTAAGAATCTATAGATCTTCTACCTGTTTTATCTTTGTGAAATTCAAATTTTCTGGAATCCATAAGTTTCTTTCCCACATTCTTCGTCGACGCTCCTGTTTCGAACCGCTCAATATATCGCTGATGTTTGCTTCTGCTTCGCTTGCCTTAAAAAACATCGAAAATCAAGCTTTCATCTTCATTTCCTAGAAAATTCGAAACTTCTACAAATTTTAGGCCACAATTACAGAGATGTTTTTATGTCCCTGAGGCAATATAGCGATTTTTGTTCTATAAGTCTGCAAAATTCTGGACTTCTCAGGTATCTCATTATTCGAGCAGTACCCGAGAAATGGCCAAAATTAGGCATCTTGCAGTATTTGTCAGTTTTTTTCGATGTGCCTAGAGCTGTAAACAGTATAGCGCTCTGGGTTTGGGAGTCCAAATAGAGAACACTTCCAAGGAGTTCTTGTCTAAACTTGATCATGGCTATTTAGTTGTTTATAGTCATTAAGAGCATTAATTCTTTTTCTCTTTCAGGTCATTCGTATTCCTAAACTTCAGACAGATGCGGAAAGTCCGGTGAGTAAACCTTTCCTTTTTGTTTTCTAGAAAAATCACAATGTTAGATTTGTGATTTTGTAACAAAATTGTCTACTTGCTCCAACAAGCACCTCCCAAAAGTTCCTGTTCCTGGTTTTCATCTCTGTGCGTAATATACACCTATGTTTATGTTAAGACTGCAATTTTGCAAGGGTTTTAATAGCGCGAGTTCGATTTCCGAAGTTCGATTTTTTTTTGCAACGACTTCTGTTTTTGATGGTCAAAAACGGAAATTTCCTTGCATACGTAATACTAGTCATGGAGGGTTTTACCTGGAAGTCTGGATATCAGCCACGAGTGTTCGAATGAGTTTGTTTAATACATAAGCGACTACGCTTAAGTATCGGAGCATGTCTCATCAGCGTACTTTTTTCTGTATCGAGTAGTCTGTATGGAAATCAATTCGCACGAACGTACAGAAATCTTAATGTCCTCTTAGCCAGTACTGGTTAGTAGTAGAATGAGCGAAGTAGTCAGAAAACTTTTTTCTTTTGGATCATGAAGGCGTAAAATACCTATTTGTATGCTTATATAACCCATCTTCACAGGTAGCGGCTACACCCAGTACCTACTGTGCTTCAAGCATGATGGCATCAGCGAGCCTCATCCTGTGAACCATTAATTGTTTCCAGCTGTGAATGTATTTGCTCGGCGAGCTCCATGAGCACGAATGCCATTCTTGTAGATGGCTATCCTGCCGGACCTTTACATCTTGGAGTCCACTTCAGTTTTCTTTTTCGTCCATCTGTCTTCAGCTCTTCCAACTGAACGAGTCGCCCATTTATGTTTCGCCTTTGATATGTATTCCCTATACATTGACGATTAGTTGGCTCTTGAAGGTCTTCTATGTTCGTTCCGACAAGATTTTTGTGCATGTGCCGGTTATATTTCAGGAAGCACCATTCATACGCTCTATTCCAAATGCAAAACGTTCTAGACATAGATGAAGGGTTAATCCCATGGTAGAGCGCTAGGAGCACCACTGAGTTAAAAAGATTAGCGCGGAATGCTTCGTTCACTACCGTTTGCCCGGTGGTTTCCTTTGATTTGTAAAAAGTAAATGAAAAATATAGGGGACTGTTTCTCCTCATATTTTTTGCATGTATAACATGCATATGTATACATATATTTACGCATGTATATATATATATGTATATATAGCTTGTTGAAGTTTATATGTAGCTTATAGTCCAGTGCGAAATTTCTGGTCTTGCAAAAAAAACTCCCTCCGGTTTGTTGAATGGAGATTGAGGATGGTTTTTCATTTCAATAGAGATTTTCTAAATGTTTCGACACATACATCAGTTGGTTTAGGAATTAGCTCTGCGAGCTATTATTTCATTCAAGTCACGTGCGGACAAGAATCATCTATTTGCAAAGAAGAAATTAGCAGCTGAATCCTCCATAAAATTGAGTGTACTGGACAACATACCGCAGGATTTTATTGAACTCGAGGAGAATTTGGAACATGCCTGTGAAGTTGATAGGGATGACGAAAGTGCAGATGGAAAGGGTGAAATAAAGGACCATATTGATTTTAAATCTGCCACCAAATCAGTCGAAACGGGCAAAACCTCAACTCATCATGCTAGGGAATCGGCAGCTAAGAGTAACAAAGATGCCCAGAATGGAGGTATTCATGACTCGTTTTTATTTGATTTCACTTTGGAAAATGTACGATTTTATTAAGTGGTTGCATTTATCTACTAATTTACTCAGTGCGAGGCCTCACCAATGCTAAAATTTTTCTCACTTTTTGAGTTCCTTTGTTTGTCAAAATGGTTTTATATGTGGCGACTGCTTGCGTAAGTTAATCAGTAGTCTACTGCGATAAAAAAGGATAAAGTTGTCGGCGTTAACTAATCTCTGAAGGATGCTCTTCGCTTTCGTCTTCATTAAGTATCGTTAGAGGTGATTGAATGAATATGTTTGGCCTTTACGATGACTTCCGGTGGCCTACCGATGTATCGAGCTAGTACTGCTACCTTCACAGGCAAGTCTGGTACCAATTTGACGACTCCGGAGGTATTGAAGACTTGGTGATCCTGGAGTGTGGGGATCGATCCTATGTGTCGCAGCGCTCCTCTCACCACTGCGCCGCACTCCGCTGCACTGCGATAAACTACGAATAACCTGTGAAATACATCTTTGCTTTATTGTTCCGAAATAATTCCAGCTAATGACGGAGGCGCTAATTCTTTGGCAAAACATTCCAAGGGAAAGGAATACGTTGACGAGAATGTAGAAGTTTCTTTCGAAATTAGTTGGGAAGGTGCACCCGAGTTCCAATGGAGATGTGAGTTATGCTAACTGTTTTTATTTATTGCCTACTACAGTTTTTCATAGCAGGGTATTATGTGAAATGCAACCACAGTGGTGCTGAGATATTTGTAAAACTCCCGACCACAAGTGTCTGCGGTTGGGATCGATCATGATACTACCTTTCCTGGGGCTAACGTATTCATCACCACACCAAGCGGGTCCTTCGTTTCGCCTGTCTTTCAGCTAGTTCTACCGATCAGTGCCAACAGCAATTACCCGTACACCTGCGGTCTGGAGTTTTGCAAATATCTCAGCATCATTACGATGTGGGTTTTGTTCATTTTTTTCTAGAATGAGGTTGTTACAATGGAGTTTTCAACAATACCTCGTATCACAGTGATATTACTACGGCCATTATGTCAAAGAATCTGTGACCACTCAAAGTATTTCAGGGTTTTTATGCTTTAGCTACGTTATTGCGTAATAAGAACTTCAACTAGAGGTTAATGACCAAAAGTGCGATTTGGTATCCAGAGTTTAGAAGGTGGTGGTATTGTATTGATATATTTCTGCAACATTTTTTTGCCGATTTTAGCCATAATCGATTACGAAAGCCTTTTTAACACTGTTCAACCGCATCAGTCTTCCTTCATTCGGCTTAACACAGTCGTAACGTAAATTATTGTGCGCTAGTGAGAAAAGGTCAGTGACTAGAAATGGGACTCAGCGACTGACTTAATGACTAGAGGTCAATGACTGAAATGCGTTTTCTCTTTTATAGATTAGAGTTTGTCACAATTGTATTGATATAGCCTTGTAGTACCGTTTAACTTTTTTTTAGTCATATCGTTTTATGTAGGATTTCTTTACAAATTGCCAAACTGTCTCCAATTTCCTTTCTTAGGTTTAGCGTAATCTTAGTGCAATTTGTTTTGCACAACATCTCCTTTCGAGTGAAAAAAAATTAGTTCCCATGTTAATGAAGGAACTTATTTTCAGTGTGCCACACCCCCGTAGATGCTCGTAGGCTTATTATTGAAAACCTGTTTTGGGCGGATCTACAGAATGTGTTCATATACCGAGTTATGCTCAAGGCTGAAACCGTCGACATCAGTTTTCCAATGCGTTTTAATATTGAAGGTTCAAAGCAGATGTGTGGGTGAGAACTCTATCACGCTGTAATTGCCACTGTACCTTCAAATAGATGAAGGCTTCGCTTCGATGTAGCTGTTAAAGACATAGTGATGCTTTTAAGAAAACTGACGATGACGTTCCAGTGGAGTATGCAAATTATGAATGAGGCGATGCAGCATTTAATCTACGTTCGATGTCCACATGGCCGACGAATCAAGATATTTCTTCCCCAAAGTTAGTTTGCTTTCAGTTTAATCCTCGTTTTTTCTTCCAGTGCTTTTTCCTTTACAATGTTTAGTCTTTTAGGATGGGAATTTGAGCCTTTTTTATATACGAATATTCTCAATATCATATTGGAGCGCCGATTTCCCCTTAGCGTCCTTTAATGCTAACCGATCTTATTTCTACCTTAATATGAGGCTATTTAAATAAAAAGGGTGAAAGGTGGGAAAAATGAGCGGTAATTTTTCTTATATTCGTACGGATCCAAACGTAAACACGGAGAAACGGATTAAAATAGCGAAGCTACTTTTAATTGAAGAATACTTAACAATCGGTAAATACTATAGTTTCATTGCGAAATTTAGCGAGAATCGAGAGCGAGCCCCGTAGCATAATTGACGAAAATCTGACGCTGCTTAGAGCCAATTCTAATAAAATTTTCAATATAGTAAATAAAGAATAAAGGTCTCGGCGTTGATCAATTCGTGTGTGATGCGCCATGCATTCGACTTCATTACGCATCGTTAGAGGCGACTGAATGCATATCCGGCCTTTACAATGACTTGCGGTGGCATACCGTTACGTCGAGCCGGTGCTGCTATCCCTCGAGACAAGTCGTACCAATTTGCCGACTCCGAAAGGATGGAAGGCTTGATGAGCCTGGGATGCGAGGATCGATCCCATGTGTATTGATTGCAAGGCGCCTCCGACCACTGGGCAACGCCCGCATTGTACGGAAATAAAAATGTTCGAGAACTCACGGAAATTAAGAGCACTGATGGATCAGCTTCGCGCAATCAAGAAAAGAAAGAAAATTTGCGCGTGATTGACACATTAATTGAATAAAATGAAGGGTAATGTCGTTAGTCGTTATGAATGTTGTTCTATGCTTTCTTTACCCTGCAGAAACATAGTTTGTAATGCTATAGTAGCTTAAAATTCCTGTTCAAAATCGTGTGTTTCTTAATTTACTCAACATAGTTATCACCGTTAATTATATTCACTCGTTTTACAGCTATTTCCCATATTCAACAACGATCTCATGGATTTAACGGAACTTGTTTTATCGATAACATTTCCAGCTCCTACAGCTGTTAACCAGAAGGAAGAATTTGAGAGCAAACTGGGTCGTGTTATCCAACCAACTCGAAGAATGCATCAGTTAGTCGTCAAAGTCCTTCCAATTAATTATGAGGTAGGGTATAGCGATGTCATTATCAAAATTTTTTAGAAGTCTGAACGTTAAAAGTATTCATATTTTAGCCTTAAGTAATGTTGATTTTTATTCATGTGATTATTTTCCTTCTTTGTTTCTCAGCTATCGTTGGAAACCGCGCAGGCGATGTTTGCTCCTCACGCCGCAACTGAGGTTAAAAACGTTAAGGACGACATTGAGTGAGTATTTTTATATACTTAAATAAATTACCTATTCCTGAAAAGAAGTGCGAATTGTGGGAGAGTACTCTTACGTTCCATTTTCTTGCAATTGTTTTCTGGGATCGGAATGGTGCTGAGATGTTTGCAAAACTTCGGACTGTAGGTATTTGTGGTGGGGAGCGAACATGCTGTCACCCTTTCCGAGTGCTAACGCTTTCAACACCACACCATGTGGGTTCTTCGTTTCGCCTTTCTCTCAACTAGTTTTCTATCTACAGTGCCATCAGCAATCACCCGTCAACGGGATTGATTCGTGGGGCACAAATCGGCATTGAATCCAGTTAAGCTGAAGCTGTGGTCAAAATGACAATATCAGCTTCTTAATGTTTATTTTTTATTTGCAGCCTACTACAATTTTTTACGGCAGGGTATTATGCGAAACACAACCACAACGGTGCTGTGATATTTGCAAAACTCCGGACTGCAGGTGTCTGGGGTAGGGAGTGAATGTGCTATTATCATTTCCGAGCTCTAATGAGTTCACCACCACACCATGCGTGTCCATCGTTTCGTCTGTCTCTCAGCTACTCTCTCGACTATTAACTTTTTATTTACTGCCTACCAGAACTTTTTAGAGCAGGGTATTATGTGAAATGCAACCGCAATGGTGCAAGATCTTTGCGTGGTGCGGTTGTTAACGCGTTTGCTCCGGACACCACAGACACCTGCGGTCCGAAGTTTTCGAATATCTCAACATCATTGTGATTGTATTTCACGTAATACTCTGCTGTGAAAAATTGTATTAGGAAGTAATTAAAAAGTTAGTTTTGCTGTGATGTTGGCTTATTCCATATTTGGCACTGTTGGCGATTTTTTATGTCGTGAATTACATGCTGAATTACTCAGTTGCCAAGAATAGGATTATCCTGTTGGTAATCTTCCTGTACGACTTTAGATTTTGGATCCAATTCAGATAACAAGATGACTAGCTCGTTGGTAATTTTTTTATATCTATCCTTTTTGTATAGATCAGAGATCAGTTGTAGGTCGTCGCTATTGAACCTACCTACTTGTTGAGTCGTCGCGTCCAACTTCAGATTAGAAGTGCATTGTTGGTGGCATCGGGAAGGCGCCATGCGATAATTTGGTAGGTGGTCAGTTAACAGAACTGAGCGAGAACTGCAATGTTATTGGTTTTCTCGAAGAAGATCCATCGAGAGATTTTTTAGCATTAGTGTTATTTCAATCAGAATACTAATTAGTTTTTCTCGAGTAGAGGAGTTAAGATGAGTCAGAAAGGATGCTTGCGTAGCTAAGTGAACGAGATTTGTATGAAGCTTATTCCTAACAATTCCATGTATGGGCGAAACATGGTATTTGTTGCATTCCTTTCAACGGTTTATCGCTGCAGGGAATTGTTTGTGGCTGTCGGACTACGAGGTGCGGAGGGGGATTCATCACGTGGCAAGGTCTCCCGAGCTGAGAAGGAGTCCGGCGTTTCCATCAGGAAGCTTAGCTATAAGAATAAACCAATACCAGGATCCACCACCGTACTGGTATCAAAGTCGTATAGCGGCAAATGTTCCTCTCATCCACAAGGGTAGCGACTGCCTGGTGTGGTTACAACCTGAGGAACGCTTCGGCTAGACTGACCTCAGGACTCAAGGGAACTATAATGGCTAAACCAACAAAACTCCGAAGAATGGGAATTGTTGTGGGGACCGCACAATCAGTAAAGACAACCCATCCAAGTATTTAGGTAAATAAGTATTTTTGTATGGTCTTCTAGTTCTAGGTTCCTTCGAAGTCTATTATTTTCGCAATTTAACATGTTTCTGTTTAGTGGAAAGCCCTCAAAGTTGACATTTATTAAGGTTTTCGTGTTAATTATGTGCGAAGAGAAGAAATTTAGCTACACGTCTTAAAGGATTATTTGTTCTTTTTAGGCATTTTTTCTATTACGCATTGTTTCTGTTCTAAGTCGTCATTTAGGAACGACTTTTATCAAGTGCTTTTTTGTAATACTGGAGGTGGTGTCTCAGTTTGCATGGTTTTTACCAAGTTAACTGAGTGCTCGCCTGCCTACAAACTAGCTATCGCTGTAATTTTTTCATATTTATATTTTTGCGTTTTATGTCTTACATGTTTGTGTTTATATACCTTTGTTAGGGGCGCGCGTGGCGAAGTGCTCGGAGGCGCCCTGTAACACGCTCGTGTAGTCGACCCCCACGTCCATGGTCCACCAAGCCGTTCATATCTCCGGGGTCGACAAATTGGTACCAGACTTGTCTGGAAAGGTGGCAGCAATGGCTTCATACATCGCTAAGCCACGCCGAGTCATTGTAAATGGCCAAATATGCATTCGATCACCCTCAAACTATGCTTAATTAAGTCGAATGTATGGCGCATCCCTCAGGGATTGATCAACGCCGTGAGTTTTGCAAATATCTCAGCATCATCGAAGTTATATTTCACAACGTATACCCTGCCGTTAAAAAGAGTAGGCAGTAGATAATGAGTTAAAATTGTGATTATAACTGCGGCCTCAGCTTAACTGGGTTCAATGGTGATTTGGGTTTTCCAGATCAATCCCGCCGACAGGTGATTGCTGTGGCAAAAATCGATAGAAATAGCTGAGAGACAGGCGAAACGAAGGACCCGCATGGTGTGGTGGTGAAAGCGTTACTCCCTGGAAAGGACTATAGCGCGTTCGTTCTTCACCGTAGACACCTGCTGTCCAGAGTTTTGCAAATATCTCAGCAACGTTGTGGTTGTATTTCGCTTAGTACCCTGCCGCGAAATTATAGTAGGTAGAAAATAAAAAGGTATAATATTGAGTTTATTCTCCGTGGAGGTATAAGCCAGAGGCGGTAGACAGTTTTTGTGGTTTGGGGTAAGCTTTTCCTAGATAGTTTTGGGTACAAAATTTCCTCGGAAAGATGGAAAACGTGGTCGGCGCAGAGTAGGATTACATAAGTGGCTGTCTTTGCATCACGCTACATAGCCCTTGCGCTTTCCTGTTGTGCTTAGTATATAGATTATATTTCTGCAATTTAGAATCGTGTATATGTTTTGATCACATGCTTTTCTTAGTCAGCCCTGTGCTATCGTTACAATGGCGAACGTTGAAGAAACAGTCAAGGCACATTCATCAATTTCTTTTGTTACGATCGAAAGAGAGGGAGAAGAGGACTGGAGATGTCATGTTTTTCTCCATGGAGGTATGTACGTTGCTTCATTTTCCGCCCATTTTCTTAATTTCTTCTTTTTTCTCGGGACAGTCGAAGCACATTATGGATCACTACTTACGCGCTGGGACAAAAAGAAACTTGCTGTGTTCGATTCGGCGAAAAAGACTGGTAAACGAAGCTCTTGATTAGTATTGTGTTGATCTCGTGAATATATTAAGACCACTTTTTACAGCAAAGCGCTCTTCTGCGGACAACTTGAAGACTTCCACCGCCTCTCACGTGGTGAAAAGAATGCGTCCAAACGGTCCGAGTACTCGTCGAGGTACCACACGTGGTGGCGTACACACATTCTATCCTTCAAGGGGATCCTACAAAGGTTTTTCATTATACATTTCATATCATGCAGGACTAGTGCTAACTACAGTTTAAATACGTGTTTGTTTTTTTTCCACATGATTTCTACTCTATTCGACTACTCATGATTTTTTGCTGATTTGTATTAATTGCACTGTCTGAAATTCTTGCTTTCACTTTATCTGACTTATCAAACAAACACATTATTTTTTAACTCTTACTGCTCTCAGGTTTATCGTTTCACCTCTCTTCTCTGTCTCTAGCTTCTCTCCTTTATCACTATAGAACTCGTTCAAATTGCCATCTCTCTGTCCCAGTTAACTCTTCTGATTATCTTTGAGAAGAACTCTCGTTTTTCATTCTCCTTCACTGTTTTATACTGTTTTAACCTTATGTGACTACATGTAGTACCAATTTTCTCCTCTTGTTTACCTATTTCAGCACGAGGGGAACATGTTAGATCATACGGTTACAGCTACGGTGGTGCTCCGTCGTTTGATTCCCGATATCATAGAGACTTAAGAACCCGTGATCAACATGAAATTGATATGGAGGAACGAATACTAAAGCAACAGGAAATGTTAAGGTTAGTACCGTTGGGCTGTCTTTGTAGTCCTGCTGATGGGACCATTATGACTGGTGGCTTGAGTGGAGTTGGGAATCGTATTAAAAATAGGAAGTACGAGGGGATATTCTAATTGGGGTGGGGCGCGTGTAGTGCGGTGTTCGGAGGAGCCTTACAATACACATGGGATCGATCCCAGCGCCCCAAGCTCACCAAGCCCTCCATCCCTCCATGATCGGCAAATTGTTACCAGACTTGTCTGGGAGGGTAGCAGCCCTGGCTTGTTACATCCGATGGCCACGCGAGTCATTGTAAAGCCCAAATATGCCTTCAATCACCTCCAACGATGGTTGATGAAGTGGAATGCATGGCGCGTCTCTCAGGGGTTTTTCAACGCGAAGAGCTTTGTGTTTGTATTTATTCTAATTTGTCGTTGGATTATATTTGTGCATTATTGTTTTTCTAATCGTAACAAAGTTTTCAGTAGTATGGCTATGGCAGCAAAACTACATGAGCAAAAACCTTTCACCGGTTTTGGAAACCGTCGCGGCAGTCCGTCCTACGGTAGTCTTCCACTTTCTGTAGAGCTTTGTTTTTCGTTTTTCTGGTATAAGTAAACGTCTACTTGCAAGCTTAAATTTTTTAAGTTTATATATTGAAAGAGTGATAGTTGTTAACACTGTATATGTTTTTATTCTACAAAGGGTACGTAGAAGCCGCTCACGATGACGGTGCTGTGGTGATCTATTGAAGGGCCCAACTTAGGTTGACGTATTTTGCAGTAGTTTTTTCATTGAGATGGTGAACGACGAAAGCTAAGTCATATGTTAAGTCTTTGACTGACCGAATTCTTGGAAGCTGTTTAATCCGTGAGATATTTCTTCACACTTAAAAATTTACTGTTGAAACCGTAATTTTTCACCGCACTTTGTACGCTCCTTTGAACTCGGTGACACGAAAACTGGTCTATTACTCCACGAAAGAAATTAGTTTAGAAAATTTTAAGTGATTCCTCGGAAGATTTAAACGGGATCGGTTTTCGAAGTAAGAAAACGCCAGGAATGTTTTTTATCTTGCTATGTTTTCTCTAGAGCGCAGAGGTTAAGGGTGTACTCCAGTACACACGTGGTGCTTCATTAAACCCCGTGCCGTGGTTTTACTCAGTCCACCGTTCCTCTCTGAAGAAATTACCACCAGGCTTCTGTAGGAGAATAAAAAAAAACTTGATAAATTAATAGGCCAATGCAGGTTATTGTATGGGGCTTATTCAACTCTACAGTGCTTGGCGAAGCCCAAAGCATGGCGTGTCTTTTAGGTATTGGTCAACATCGAACGTCTTCTCTGAATCCTTGCATCTTCTATTTTACTGAATATTTTATTACGTGAAAACTATATGTTTGGAAATTTTCAGGTGGGTCGGTATCCAGTCATACATCTTCGTACCCCAGAAGCAATTATGATTCATACGAGTGGGTTTTAAATCCTGACATTAATAGATAATAGATTTCAGCCGTTCAATTTTTTTTTTGCAGTTTTCTTTTCTTGATTTACGCAAACTCCCATTTTCCAAGCATGTCCCATTGGTTGTGTCTTCGTGGAACTTTATCCTTATCTGTTGTGAACATGTTATTTGCCGATTGAGTCAAATCTAAGTCGCTTTTGTGATCTTATTTCAATTGTTACAAAGTCTATTTTTCTAAAATTATAACTTTAGAGTCCAGGAAAAAGTGCTTACGCAATCACTTTTTATTTACTCCTTATTCTTTTTCCATGGTAGGGTATTGTTTGAAATATAACCACCATGTTGCTGAGATATTTTCAAAACTCTGGACCGCAGGTGGTTATGGTGGGGATCGAAAACGCTATTAACCTTTCGGGGGGCTATCGCGTTTACCACTGCACCATGTGGGTCCTTCGTTTCGCTTTCCTCTCGTTCGTGTTTTATAGGTGCTATCAGCCATCACCCATCATTATGGGGTTATTTATTTGAGAAGTTTAGGAAGTATTTATCATTTTTTGGATATTTGCGATTTCTACAGGTCACCATGAGAATCTTCCACTTCTTTTCTGTTTGAAAGCATAACCAGTAGTGACATAAGTGTTTACAAACTGGGCAGTTAATATAGTGTTTAGCTATGTTACAATAGAGGTAGAACTATTAAGTGTTTTCTATCGGCATCAGTTCTTCGTCAGTGTAACCTTCGTCATTTCTAAAGTTTTCGGAATATCTACACAAAGTTTCATATCTTAGCCAAAGCAGTAGTTTTTTATCCAGTGTCTAGTGTCTTTCATATCTACCCACTGTTGCATGTTTCTCTTCTTTCTGATTTCATTGAAGTCCTAATCCCTGAAATACGTGCTCTAAGAAGATATTTTCGAGTTCGTGATTGTTGTTGAAGTACTTTTCACAGAGTACTGTATCAACAAGCGTATTGGTAAGATGAACACGGTGCAATTCACTCATGTTCGCTTGTTCCAGATAAGCCTGGTCAGCCAAGCCCTCTTCTCCTGTAGTCGGCGAATTGTTATCGGACTTGTGTGGAAAATGTTTCATTCGATCAGAAAAGACCAATAAGTTCTTGTCGTGAGGATCTGAGCAAGCTCTTATAGAGCTGTCCCATGATTTTATAATGACTCACTTCTATCCATCCATTGAGAATACGGAACCCTCAACTTGCGGTAAAGCCCACGTGGAAACCCGACGAGTTTCATAGGTAACAAGACTACGAATCGAGTGAAAAAAAGTGCTAATATCGGCACATTATGTGAAAAATATGTTTACATGGGCAGTATTAATATCTATAATACCTACCTATATGTGCGTAGTGTGAGTAAGAAATGAAGGACATTTAAGGTGTATAAAAATGTCTTTAATACCACATCCTGCTGATGATTGTTTCGTTTCCTGTTGAATAGTTGAATAGAAGCCTGTTGATTCGCAACTTCACGCCGGAAGGTAACTTTACGTCACCATCTGTCGTCGTTGATTGATTCCAGAAGACACCATTGAACTTATTTTACCTCTATCTCGTGCCAAAGTTGCCCACTGTCGTCTGCTCACTCCAGTTGCGCAAAAGGGGAAGGGGTATTTTCGTATGTACGATGATAATAGCTCGACAATCTCTTAAGTATGTTTCTTTTCATGCACTCTGTTCATCTATATCAGATGTCTTGTTGTTCGCAGTCGTTCGAGCGGACACGGGGCCTCGTTCCGTGGCCACATATGTGTTAATGGAGTCAAAAGACTTAAAATTGGTTAAAATGAAGAAACATGGCGGTACCATGTGCATAGTGGGGTAGTTCAATGAATTTTGTCACTATTATGATGTTACGGTTATGATCCATCGTAACGAACCATTTTTAATACCCACATTGCTATTCTTCCAATGTTCTTCAGTCCTTTGAGGACGATTTGAATGAAGAGGTTATAGGTAAAAAATAGCAGGCATTCATGGCTAGTTTCCACTCTTTCTGTTCTTATAAAACAACATGGTTCCATGGGTACAGTCCTCTGAGTTCTGCATTACTTGGGGAGAATACATACTTAGAGCTAACTCAAGTAAAGCAACGTAGTGTGATGGTGAGAGTTGACTGTGGATCTGTTGTATGTTCAGGTCACATTCCGACCTATTTGGTCGTACCTGGACTGGGGCTATAGGGCTGATGAGCTAACATGCAGTACTTCGCTAGATTAAAGCAGTTATAGAGCAAGACTGCTAGCTTCAATAACACGGCTTTATTTAGTGCGTATTATAATTTTAGTTAGTCTGTAAATAGAACTAGCTGAAAGACAAGCGAAACGAAGGACCCGCATGGTGTGGTGGTGAACGCGATAGACCCCGTAAAGAGTAATAACGCGTTCGCTCTCCACCGCAGACACCAGCGCTCTGGAGTTTTGTAAATATCTCAGCATCATTATTGCTAGCCTTGTTTTTCGTCGCTGTAATATTTTATTTTGTCCGTGAGAGCTTTCAAAAAAGATTCAGGAAAGAACTCATCGCCATTTTCAGATCTTTTGAAGGGCATTTGAATTATTCCCAATTTGCTTCGCCGTCTTATAACTTGATCTTGAATAAAGAATCAAGTAGTTTCGCCGTTTCAGGAAATCTGGATGTTTTTTGGAAGCTTGCAGTCCTTTAAGTTGCTAAATTTAAATTCGTCATAGGTTTCTGGGGTGTTTCACGAATCGATATAGAAATTTCTCTGCTTGTTAGATTCGATTTTCTTGACTGGTTTGAGTGATCATCATTCAAGTCTTCATTCAACACTGTTGCCTGAGTTTATTGTTTCGAAAGCGTCGAAAAAAGTCATACCTTTCAAGCAGAACCCCTAACTTTTACTGCTTTGGCGAGATGCTACTACGAATGACTGTAATTATGTCATCGAGACTAAAGAATAAGCTTAGCGTGACTAACATGCTCAAAATCCCTGACTTGGAGTCCTTTGACTATTGTTGATGGTGGACTTGGTTATCCGATTCTGTTTGGCGAATAGACTAGGTAATGCTAGG